AGCATTAATGAATGGGTAATTCTCTAGCACAATTTGTAGACTGGGTTACAAACAATCAAGTTTCTGTTCAAACACTGAATAAAGAGAATGATGAAGCAAAAACAGCACGCAAGGCATGAAAAAGGTAATAAAGAGTTTGAAGAGATATGAAAGCATATGAGGACAACCTAAAGTGGATTTTAACAGAATTGCAGATTCTGTAACATAGAGGATACAAGGTAGATGTAGCCCTTTACCTGCTTATTCCTTTTTTCTCAGGAGTTGGGGAAAATGGTTATGGGAGATTACCTTGGTTCTAAGACACTGGTTGAACAGAGCTTGGTTGCTGTCTGACGCTCATGTGAGACAGAGAAGCAGACCATCTTTATTAGGTAAAAAGGAAGAATTAGCATTGTTGCATTGTAAGGAGGTTTACACAGTGTGTAAACAAATGTGATGTTTACTACAAACTGGATTTTAAAAAGGCAGAGGAACCAGAGATCAACTGACAACATTCGTTGCATCATAGAGAAAGCAAGGGAATTGCAAAAAAACATCTACTTCATTTAGTCAAAGACTAAAGTCTTTGACTGTATGGACCACAACAAACTGGAAAAATCTTAAAGAGATGGGAATACCAGACCACCTTACCTGTCTTCTGAGAAACTTGTATGCAGGTCTAGAAGCAACAGTTAGAAACGGACATGGAACAATAGATTGGTTCAAAATTGGGAAAAGAATACCTCAAGGCTATATATTGTCACCCTGCTTATTTAATTTATATGCAGAGAACATCATGTAAAATGCTGGGCTGGATGAAATACAAGCCAAAATCACGATTTCTGGGAGAAAGTTCAACAATCTCAGATACGCAGATGATACCACTCTAATGGCAGAAAATGAAGAGGAACTAAAGAGCTTCTTGATGAGGGGGAAGAGGACAGTCAAAAAGCTGGCCTGAAACTCAACATTCAAAAAACTAAGATCACGGTGTCCGGTCCCATCACTTCATGGCAAATAGATGGGGAAACAATGGGAACAGTGAGAGACTTTATTTCCTTGGGTTCCAAAATCACTGCAGCAGACATAAAATGAAAAGATGTTTCCTCCTTAGAAGAAAGCTATGACAAACCTAGACAGCATATTAAAAAGCAGAGACATCACTTTGCTGACAAAGGACTGTCTAGGTAAAGCTATGGTTTTTCCAGTAGTCATGTTTGGATGTGAGAGCTGGACCATAAAGAAGGCTGAAGGCCAAAGAACTGAAGCTCTTGAATTGTGGTGTTGGAGAGGATTCTTGAGAGTCTCCTGAACGGAAAGGAGAACCAATTAGTCAATCCTCAAGGCCACAAACCCTAAATATTCACTGGAAAGATTGATGTTGAAGGTGAAGCCACAATATTTTTGGTCACCTGATGTAAAGAGATGACTCATTGGAAAAGACCCTGAAGCTGGGAAAGATTGAAGGCAGGAAGAGAAGGGATGAGACTGTTGGATAGCATCACCGACTCAATGGACAAGAATTTGCGCAAACTCCAGGAGACAATGAAAGACAGGCAGCCTGGCATGCTGCAGTCTATGGGGTTGCAAAGAGTCAGACAAAACTTAGTGACTAAACAACTACTACTTAAAGATTTTCATGTAGGGAAGAACCTATTCTTTAAAATATGTGAAAAAACACTAGAAATTAGAGAATAAAAAAGTAAAAAACCTTTTTTCCAATCTTTTCTTTCTCTGTGTGCTTTGATTATTTACATTTAATGTGATTAATGACATGGCTGGATTTAAAACTACCATTTTTGTTATTGGATGTTTTCTGTTTAAGTGCTCGTTTTCAATTTACAATACATATCTTTTTAAACAAATATTTATTTTTGCAATATATAACTGTGGCTAACAGTATCTACTTTCAAGTAATAATGTGATAGTGTAAGAAACTTGTGGCTTCTCAGGTGACTCATAGGTAAAGAATCTACCTGTCAATGAATGACGTAAGGGTTCCAACCCTGGTAGGGGAAGATTCACTGAAGGAGAACATGGCAACCCACTCCAGAATTCTTGCCTAGGAAATGCCATGGACAGAGGAGCCTGGTGGGCTGGTCCACGGGGTCGCAAAGAGTTGGATTCAGCTGAGTGACTGAACACGTACACACATACATAAGAACCTTATACAAGTATATTTCCAAAATCCTCCCTCCCATCTTTTGGGTAATTGTTGTTATACCTCTAGCTTTTATATATTTTATATATCCCACATACAATATTACTATTTTTACTTAGACATATAGTTATTTTATAGTGTGATTAAAAATGAGGGAACACATGCCTTTTGTATTTATTTTTACCATTTTTGGAGTCCTGATTTCTTTGTATATATCAGGGGATAGCATACTATAAGCCATGAACCAAAGCTGACCTTCCAGTTTTTCTAAATAAAGTTTTACTGGAATACAGCCATCATCTATGGTGGTTGTGCTACAGAGGCAGAGCTGAATAGTTGTGACAGAGACTGTCTAACCTACAAAGCCTAAAATACATGGTATCTGGCCCTTGACAGAAAAAACTGGTGTAGATCTAAGTATCTGCCCGGTGTCACATTCTCTATGCCTTAAGAACTTTGTTTAACAGTTATTGCAGCATAAGTCTGCCGGGAATTGATTCTCTCAGCTTTTCATGTATCTGTAAAAGGTAAAAGGACTTTACCTTGTCCTCACTGGAAAAAAAAAACAAAAATTCAATGGATATATAATTCTGGGTTGACAGGGTTTATTTTAACACTACAGCGATGTCTTAATCTTCATGCTTGCAATTTTTCTAATGACAAGTCAACTGTAGATTATTTTCATTGCTCTGTACATACATGGTTTTTCTGCCTCTGATTGCCTTTAAGATTTTCTCTTCATTGCTGGTTTTCAGCAGTTGGAATATACTTCTAGAGGTATGTGTCTATGTTGTTTTTTCAAACCCTCTATGATTTTTTTCTCTCTCCATCTCCATCCAAGACTTTAGTCATAGATTGACAACGTTCCACAGATCTTTTATCACTTTTTTCTCTTTGTGTTTCAGTTTGGATTTATGTTAACCATACTCAAATGACAGATTTCTTTTGCAACTGTGTTATCTATTGACAGTTCTGAAGGAATTCTTCATCTCTGATATCATGCCTTTTATTTCCAGCATTTCAATTTGACTGTTACTACCTCTATCTGCTAAAAATTTTCCATTACTTTGTACATGTTATGCACCTTTTCCCATTGGATTCTTTAATATGTTAACCAGAGCTACTGTAAAGCCCTTGTCTGATAGTTCCAACAGCTGAGTCATCTTTAAGTCTTGTTCTATTGATTATTTTACCTCTTGACAGTGTTTTTTTTTTCTTCCTTTTCTTCTTAATGTTCATATCTCATAATTTTGACTGAACACAGAATGTCATATGTAGAAGAGTAGAGACTGAGGTAAATAGCATTTAGGCTTGAAAATGAGTGTGCTTATTCCAGAGCAAGGCCTTTAGTGTGAGAAAAACTAGCCAATCTAATCAGAAGGTTAGCTGGGTGTGACAGCTGTTGCCACGGTTACCTTCAGTTGACCCGAAGTGTCAACTTCCTCCAGCGATTGGCTGCTTCTGCCTAGTACTTGACATATGGCTGGGCTGCTGTAGGATGTTCCTCAGAGTTAGTTTTTCATCCTCAACTTAGAACAGATCCTATAAATGTGTGCTTCAGAGTGGAAGGATCTCTCCATGCTTCTGCCCCTTTTCCAGCAGTAGATTGCTGCTGCTTTTCTATCCTTCATCCTTTCCTGTCTATAAGATCAAAACTCTGCTTTATATCTAAAGTTAACCTTGGGTTGGAATTTTCATCCCTCCCTGATAGGCAGGAGACTTGTACTTAGTATAGTATAGGTTCTTAGGTCTAAGAAGAGATTTTTGTCTTCTCTTGACCACAATGTGTCTTAGCTTATGTCCTTTGGGCAAAAGGCTTTGCTGCCCCACCCAAATCAGCTAAGTACCTAGGATCCAGGGAAGTTACATGCATTTCTTGCCTTGCCCATAATAATAGCTGATCAGCACCCGTAAGCCTGGACCATCAATAGGAATCTTCAGTCTCTTGCACTAACCCCAATCTTTCTTGTGAGTACTCAGTGGAGGTTTGAGGGGGAAAAGTTTGAGAGTAAGTGTGAAGTCCCCTTTTGAACTGTTCTTCTGTCAGATGCCCTCAGTTATTTCAAATTGGTATGGTGCCAGCCCTTGGCCTTCTGCTAACAACGGGGCTTCTGTTGAACTTCTGCAGATTCCTCTTTCCTGCCTGTATTGTGATACTTTATCCTCCTCTGCTTTGCCACGAGCAATACCAGTTCATGCGCACCATTTCTCCGTGAAACTCAGGTCATACGACTGCCATGTAATTTCAGCTCGCTGATGGACTCAAAAAAAGAGTTCTGTACTTTATTAGGTCTTTCCATTTTTTTCTCATCAGCAACAGGGAAAATGGGGGTTTCCCTGGTTGCTCAATGGCAAAGAATCCACCTGCAAACGCAGGAGAAACAGGTTCAATCCCTGATATAGGAAGATCCCACATGCCATGGAGCAACTAAGCTCATGCACCACAACTACTGAGCCTGTGCTCTAAAGCCCACATACCGCAATTACTGCAACTGGCAGGCCCTAGAGCCCATGCTCCTCAACAGGAGAAGCCACAACGAGAAGCCTGTGAGTTGCAACTAGAGAGTAGCTCCCGTTAGGCACAACTAGAGAAAACCTTACACACAGCAAAGAAGATCCAGCACAGCCATAAATAAATAAAATTATTTAAAAAAGAAAAAGTGAAAATGGTATGTACTGCAGCTCTCTGTACCCTAAATAGAAGCTATATATCCTCTAGCTTCATTTTGGATCATTTCCAAGTGTATAAATTCATCAATCTTTTCTTTTTCAGTGAATAATCTGTTGTTAATCTCATCCAGTGTATTTTTCATTTCATATATTATATTTTTCATCTCCAGGATTTTCTTTTTTTTTTTTAACAAGAACTTTTAAGTTTATTCTGAATCAGATTAAACTGTGTTCAACATGGCTCATTTCTTTACAAGTCATAATCTTGAGTATATCCTAAAACAGCTAAACAGTTCTAATGCTTCTTCTTTAATTATACTGGACACAAAGCAGTGTAACTATACAGAAGGCAATGCCGGCATGGTGTACGGGACGTGAAGTGTGGTGAGGGGACCCTGCCCTGGTGACTTGGTGGGCAGGTGAGGAACCCACCCTGTCCCCGCCTGAGCTCTCACTCCATCCCCTTGACATTGAGTCAAACAAACAAAATCTACTCCATAGTTAACTCTGCAATTATTGGGCTGTTTCTAGCATTCACGTTCTAAAGTTAGAAAAACAAAAACCACCAAGAGATCGTACCCGACAGTTAAGACCCTTCTCCCTCTGCAGTGTGGACTTTCTGATGTTTAGGAAGATTGGACTTACTACAGAAGGTTTTCCCACAATCACTACACCAATAGGGCTTTTCCCCAGTATGGATTCTATGGTGCTTATTAAAATTGGGAGCTGTGGTTGAAGGCTTTCCCACACTCCTTGCACTTATATGGCTTCTCTCCAGTATGGAGTCTCTGGTGAGAACTAAGACCCGCGTGTTGACTAAAGCTCTTCCCACACTCATTACACTGATACGGCTTCTCCCCAGTGTGTATTCGGTAGTGGCGAATGAGGCTGCCTTTGCCACTGAAGGCTTTGCCGCAATCTTTACACTGGTAAGGGGCCTCTTCAGTGTGCATTCGCTGGTGCTTAAGGAGGTCTGAGCTCTGACCGAAGGCTTTCCCACACTTACAGTCATAGGGCCGGTCCACCAGGTGTATTCTGTAGTGAAGGGTCAGGTTGGAGCTGTGGCTGAAAGCCTTCCCACATTTGGTGCACACATATGGTTTCTCCCCAGTGTGTGTTCTCTGGTGTTTAGTGAGGTTGGAGCTATTACTAAAGGCCTTCCCACACTTGGCACATATGTAACATCTCTCTCCTGGGGCGGGTTTAGTCACTACTTCTCTACCTTTAGCAGAACCTTTGTCTTGGAGAGGGGTTTTTGTTCCTCTCTCCTTTTCTGGATTTACCCACTGCCTTTCTAACCTGGCCTCACATTTATCGGCGATAATCATGGGAAGTGTATCCCTTCTGAATCCTTCTGCATGAGATTCTTCAGAACTTCCCTCCTTATCTGTTGATTCCTCATTCTGGGTCTTCGACTTACGATCTCGAACCTTCCTCAGCACTGGAGTGAACTTCTCCTCTTCACCAGTCTCTTGGATGTAGAGGGGCCCCCAAGACTCGTATCTGTGACTGGTTTCCACAGACTCTCTAGTTGTGGGCTGCTCAGGGACTCCTCTGCCGTTCCTGAGGGTGACATCTTCTCCCATGACCGTTTCTGCTCATGGGGAGGTGGGGAAGCCTGTGGTGCCGGCTCATCCAGCTCCCGCTCCAGATCCTCCAGGAGAGTGACGACCTCTTCGGCGCTCTCAGGGCAGTGCTCCTGCACCCAGGCCTGGAGCACGATGGTCAGGAACTGCTCGAGCACCAGCAGCTCCAGGATCTGCTCCTTGGTGTGGATCTCGGGCAGCAGCCACTCGCAGCAGAGCACCCGGAGCTGGTTGAGTGCCTCCCAGGGGCCAGGGGTGTCGTGGTACCCAAACTGCCTGAAGCGCTGGCGGAATATCTCCATGGGAAGGCGCTTCCCTTTCTCTTCCTCCTCCTCAATCTTCACAATTATAGGCCCCTGCTCCTGTGGAGGCCTAGGGCCCAGAACTGTGGCCATGTCCAGCACCTTCATCTCGGAGGTACTCCAGAAACATCTGTCACTACAGACAGGATTCCGTGGAGCAGGAATATTGGTTCCTGTGGGTTTCTGGTTCTTGAGAGCTACACGTTAAACCGTGAGTCAGAGCCGCTTGGGCCACTGGGACACCTCAATGCGCACCGAGACTGGCGTAGTCAGCTTCTTTTACTTTTTTATACCACTTGTTTCTACTCTCATCGCATTAGTCTATATTTTTGAATTATGGAACCTATTTACAACAGCTATTTTAATATCTTTGTTTGCTGATGTTCTATTGTTTATACTGATGAGTTTTACTCCTGATTATAGAATTTAGCTTCCTGCTTCTTCTCATGCTTAGCAACTTTTGCTTTGATGTCACACATTTATGAAGTTCACATTTTGGGGTGCTAGATTTTGCTGTATTCCTTTAAACAATGTCAGACTTTGTTCTGGTAAGCAGTTAAGACACAGAATCAGTTTGATTTTTTTTGAGGGCTGCCTTTAAGCTTTGCTAAAGTAGGTCCAGAACAGCCTTTAGCCCAGGACTATTTTAGCCTCACCAACACAATACCCTCCTGAGGATTCTACCCAATGCCGTTTAGTAAGAGACCTTTCCACTTTGGTTGGCTGGAAGAACTAATTCTAGCTTTGTGCGACTTTCAGGAATTATTCCGCCTACTCCTTTCGTGATTCCTTCCTGGCTTCAAGTTAAGTTTCCTCTCACACATGCACAGAACAGTATCTAGCCAAAAACCCCGAGGAACTTCTCTGCAGATCTCAAGCTCTTTGTACTCCTTCATTTTGCCCTGCAAATTGGACCTACCTTGGCTTCCAGAATCCTGTTCTTTGTCTCCTCAATTCAGTAGCACTATTGGATTCTGTCTGATTTCCTCTTCCACCTAATGTGGCCTAGAATCTTCCTCCAGGGAGTAAAATGAGAACAGCAGGACTCACCTTGATTATTTTCCTTCTCTCAGTCACTGCCTATTGTTCAATGTCTGAAAACTAATGGTTTAATGAGAACTACTATGGAATTTTCTGAGCTTTTTATACACTTCTTGGAAATCTTTCACCAGTCCCTCTTCCCAAACCCAAAAAAGGATAAAAAGAAAAAGCATTTATCCCAAGTCTTTCTCGAGCAGAACTATTTTTATAGATCAGGAAGGTAATAACACAGCAAAACTTGATTTCCATTAATAATCAACATTCTGACCAAAGAAACTTACCCAAAGGAGTTCATATGGTAGAAGATAACATAAAAGATTCCAAATTTGTTACAATATTTACATTTTGAATATCCTAAGTTAACTATATCCAGCTCACCTAAACTATACCATAATAGAAATTGGGTTTGATAGACTCTTGGAAAATCTAAACTACTTCTGTTTTTATGACACCGTAAAGAAGTTCTCTAATTTCTAACCTCGGATTTTTTTTCTAAAATACTTTTTTTTTTTAAACTTTTATTTATTCATTCATTTATTTTTATTAGTTGGAGGCTAATTACTTTACATCATTGCAGTGGTTTTTGCCATACATTGACATGAATCAGCCATGGATTTACATGTGTTCCCAATCCCGAATCCCCATCTTGNGCTTGTAGACTTTTGGATAGCAGCCATCCTGACTGGCATGTAATGGTACCTCATTGTGGTTTTGATTTGCATTTCTCTGATAATGAGTGATGTTGAGCATCTTTTCATGTGTTTTTTTGCCATCCGTATGTCTTCCTTGGAGAAATGTCTGTTTAGTTCTTTGGCCCATTTTTTGATTGGGTCATTTATTTTTCTGGAATTGAGCTGCAGGAGTTGCTTATATATTTTTGAGATTTAATCCTTTGTCTGTTGCTTCATTTGCGATTATTTTCTCCCATTCTGAGGGTTGTCTTTTCACCTTGTTTATAGTTTCCTTTGTTGTGCAAAAGCTTTTAAGTTTAATTAGGTCCCGTTTGTTTACTTTTGCTTTTACTTCCAATATTCTGGGAGGTGAGTCATAGAGGATCCTGCTGTGATTTATGTCGGAGAGTGTTTTGCCTATGTTCTACTCCAGGAGTTTTATAGTTTCTGGTCTTACATTTAGATCTTTAATCCATCTTGAGTTTATTTTTGTGTATGGTGTTAGAAGGTGTTCTAGCGCGACGGCCGGCTATGGGCCCGACGCTCCAGCGCCATCCATTTTCAGGGCTAGTTGATTCGGCAGGTGAGTTGTTACACACGCCTTAGTGGATTCCAACTTCCATGGCCACCGTCCTGCTTCTAAAATACTTTGAATTCTACCAACTCTGCTATTTAAATCTAGAACAAATTGCTCTAAGAATATGATCTCCTGTACTAACTACACATACTGTTATTCCTAAAAGGTTAAAAAGCTGGCAATTTTCCAGTTCTCATTAGTTCCAAGTTATGGAATACAATGTCCGGTTCTTAGTTTATCCTATATTTTCTTTTGGTGTGTCGACTATTTCTCTAAATTTAGTCTCAGGTATCTTGTTGTACAGGTCTTCAATTCTTTGTCCTATGTATGTACTATGACATATACACACAAACACCACACATACATACACACATGCTCCAGACAGTATACAGGCATTAAATACGTTTGTGAAAACTGCTGTTATTAAACTATATTCTGGACCAGCAAAGTAGCACAGAGGGAGCATGCTGGGTCCATAAACTATATTGTTACAGATTGTTTCTTAAATTCTTAAGCTAAATCATATCTATATTTATTTTGATACATACTTTTCTGAATAGCTCCTTTCCTACATCAGATTACATTCAACAATAAAAAACAGTGATTTTACTGAAATATTTTGAAAACCAATACTAAGTAATGGTAACACTCACACTTAAAATTATTATTTTGAAACAATCCTCTTCTTCTGAGAGATTCCTAAATCCTGGCAACTTGAACTTTGATTTAGGGCTCTAATCCTGGACCTGTCTCATATTAGAAAACTGGTCATATGTTCTAGTTAATCACATTGTTTTAAAGTCCATTTGACATTGTTTTCCTTTTCAACTTTTCCACAAACTTGCATTTTGTTATTTCCCTTAAACAGTCTAAGCTAAATCCTACTGAGAGTTGCTTCACTCGCTAGCCTCTCTGCATGAAATGCTTGTGTGCAACAGCACTCATGCCCCTGCTCAAGCGTTACCTCCTCAGAAGCCTTCCCTGACTACCCTATCTGAAACAGTCCACTCTAACTCTTCTTTCTCTGTTTTTTATTAAGTCATAAGATATGTCTTGTTCTCCCTGAAGAGGTACAATAACTTAGCTGGTAACTGTTACAACTCACATTTTCCCCTTTTCTTAATATAAGTTTAGAAACTGCTTTAATTTACATTGCTAGTTTATCCACACTTTATTATTTCTCAAATATATTTTGCAGCATCATATTTGCTATAATTGAAATTTAAAATTTCTTTGCATTTTCTGTTCCTCTGATGTCTCTATAACTTTATAAAGTATGTCTAAGGATTTATGAGATCTTCATGTTTTAAAAACAATTTTTTACTGTCTGTTTTTCAGGCAATACAAGTATCTAACTATTTCAAGGAAGAGTTTCTCAATCTGAATAAACCACGTTTTTTCCTAGTATAAAATGCTTTAAAATATTCTGAATGAACAATTACAGCAGTTAAGTAGAATGAATGGAAAACAAATCATTCATGGATCAGAAATAACTGTTTAATAAGATGTAAGTTTAGAGTTTCTAATAGATATATTAAGATCAAGGAAGAAGTATAAAACAGCTCCTAAAAGGCTGGGTAACTATCATATTGATGTTAAACAAATACTATGCTCCATGGAATTCAGCTTTCTAGCAGCAAATAATAAGCTTAATAAGTAAATATACAGTTAAATTCTTAGTACTGAGAATAGATGTGATCCAGGAACCATAGGATTTATTCCATATTCACTTCTTCAACTTTTCTGGATTACATTCAGCCTACGTCTATTTTAGGAACTGCTTTGGAAGGTCCTTATGTTTTATGCAAGGAACTGCTATTTTCCCAGATGAATAGAATATCCATTCTCTGACTCCAAGTTTCCATGACAATAAAAACAAAACATTCATCAGCACCAACTTGGTATTTGATGGCAAATGCAGCTGCAGCTTATAACAGTTCAATCTTTATCCCAACTCTTCTGTAGAACAGAGACACTATATTTCTCCAAAGGAACTGAATTGTTTTCACAGTGATTTTCCCCCTACCACTAGAGCTAAACACTAACAACCAAATGTGCTACACAATCTCCAGTCTTAAAATCAGCCACCCTTCTCAAACACATGCCAATACAATGAAAAGTTTCTGAATTTTGCTAACAGCACATTTGATTTGTGAATTCTGAAAGATTAGTTGGTTTACATATTACAGATTTAGAGGAACATAGAAGTTTAAGCTTTCACTGGGAGAGACAGTCACAGTAAACAAAAAGCTGTTAAATTCAATCACATTATGGTAAAACAGTGCCCCCTTGTGTCTTGGTGTTTCTACCTTGTCTAAATCCAACATTCATTTCCCTACAGTTCTATGGTATGGGTTTATATAATTTTTATATCCCAGAAATAAAATGGACTTAATAACTAGCAGTTCTACTAAGACAAAAATTCTAATTGATTACAAATATATTGGCTATTCAATACCAGTGATTTTAACATTATAATCTGCAGTATGAAGAAAATGTAATGACTTCAGACTGATTCAGTAGTTATTTTTATTTTAAATTTCATATTTAATTTACTGTTAGAGAGGCTGATGAAGTTTTTAAAATGAAAAGAAAAACTCACCCCCATTAGTTACATTTTCCTCTGGTAATGGTTCTCCTATGTACCACTTTATACTAGCATCAGTTACCTTCATTATTATGTTGGGACAACTAGTGAGTTCCAAGCTTTACTCAGGTATCAAACAGTTTTGACTAAATGGAGGAAATACGCAATTTTATAAAGTATCTGTAATGACAATGTGAGCAATTCTTATACACTTTAGAAATGCAGCATATAGAAAAACATCCATGTTTCATCTTTAATGCACTCAAAATGTAATACGCACACTAGAAGCTTGGGCGAGAAGTTTATTAAGAAATCAAACCTCAGGTCCCATCGTGGATGATCTGAATCTGAACTTGCGCTTTAGTGAGATCTCCAAATTTAACACTTGACACAGCTCTGAATTCTCTGCCCTCCTACCCCCAACTACTACGGGAGGGGAGTGAGAGAAGAGGGAAATTGACTGACTGTTTAGGTATGGGAGATAGCTTTTAAGACCAGGTGGATTCTAAGGGAGGAAAAGAACCAGAAATAGCTTTGGGAAGGCAATCCTGAATATATAACCCAAGCCAGGTTCCCTGCTTTACCGAACTGATCCCTACCTACAACTCTGTTTTTCCACTTTCTCAATTACCCAAAAAACCAAACAACTAAAACTCTGCCAATTAAGAGTTTAATTTGGCCAATAAGAGCTTATAAAAGTGCAAATAATCAGGTTAGAATAAAGTCCATCACTCAATATCAATGATGCCTAGTAATTTTTTACATATCACAATCTACATTTACCATACATTATCTCATTTGACACTCACCACAGCTCCAACAAGCAAGTGCTACTACTCCCATTTTATAAATAAGGTGACTAAGAATCACTGACATCAGCTAAATTACCTAAAGGTCACACAACTAGTGAAAAGTGATCAGACTGCTAAAATACAGGTCCTGAATCCAAACCTTACGCTCTTTGAATTGTACCATGCTACCACTACTCATTAATAGGAACGAGTTTCTTTATGGGTTTCCCTCGTAGCTCAGTTGGTAAAGAAACTGCCTGCAGTGCAGGAGACCTGGGTTTGATTCTTGGGTCGGGAAGATCCCCTGGAGAAGGAAATGGCAACCCACTCCAGTATTCTCGCCTGGAGAATCCCATGGACAAAGGAGTCTGGTAGGCTACAGCACATGGGGTCGCAAGAATTGGACACAACTTAGCGACTAAACCACCACCACCTCTTAATAGTAGCTGAGGTCAGTACATTGGGATCTGGTAAAACACTGGAGAAAAAAGACAATTCTAGACAGCACTCTGGGGAAGACTCTCACAACTGAAGACTAAAGTTGTTGTTCGGTTGCTAAGTCATGTCCCACTCTTTGCAACACCATGGACTGTAGCACGCCAAGCTTCCCTGTCCTGAGAAAGACATATTCCAGAGTTTGCTCAAACTCATGTCTATTGAGTTGGTGGTGCTATCTAATCATCTCGTCTGCCACCCCTTTCTCCTCCTGCCCTCAATCTTTCCCACCATTAGGGTCTTTTCCAGTGAGTCAGTTCCTCGCATCAGGTGGCCAAAGTATTGGAGCTTTAGCATCAATCTGTACAGTGAAAATTGAAGGTTTGTTTTCTTTAGGACTGACTGGTTTGATCTCTCTGCAGTCCACAGGACTCTCAAGAATCTTCTCCAGCACGTCAAAAGCATCAAGTCTTCAGCCCTCAGCCTTCTTTATGGTC